GGGGGGGGGGGGGGGGGGGGGGAGTTAGAGAAATGGAGGCGAGAGAGATTATGTTGAACCGAAAAAAGAGTATCTTGGTCGTGTTTCGTGGTGTGGGCTATTATAGGCACCAGCGAACAAGCGAGCCAGCACGCGAGACACCGTCGACCTCTGTGCATGCAAACACACGAAGTTTTATGCGGTTACAAAAAACAGGTTGTGCCTAGAGTTATTGGCTTCGACGTGGGTGAAGGCCGCTGTTTGCTGCTGAGTCCGAATCAAGCCAACCACCGCTTGTGCGCATGGTTGCAATGGGATGGTTTCAACCACCAGCGGCGTCGACATTTTACGGTCCGCATGTGTTTCGTCCCCTCCTGGTCATGTTGACCCCGGCGTTGAGCTATACAACGGCAGTGTTGTGGGGCTGCTGGTCTAGAAGCAACTTCACACGCGCGTAGCAAACATTGCTGTTCTGTCCGTGTGCTTGCACAATTAAGTACTGTCGCTGTGCGAACTTCTGTTGTCGACGCAGGCATCGAGCTGAACCAGGGTGACACGATCGGTGGGACCGTGGGCCGCGGAGATGTCGCGGAAGTGGTGGTGGAAGCGGCACTGAGCCCAGCAACCGAGAACACGATATTCGAAATATACGGTGAGTGAGAGGAGAGAGGGAGAGAGGAAGAGGGAGGGGGCACGGGAGAGAGAGAGGAAGAGAGAGACAGAGACAGATAGAGGCCGCCTGTTTTTCTCGATGGGTTTGATTTGTCCTGATAGAAAGCGTATCAGAAGCTTTGCAAGCGAGTAGGTGAGCACGGCGGTAACGGGAAATGCACCACGTATTTCTTCTGGCTGATTGCGCGAGCTGTTGTCCACTCCCGACCTCCCCCGGAGAAGGTGTCGCGAAGTCTTCTTTTCGACGCCGAAAACATGACCTGACCACGTTTCAGGCCTCGGCAGTGAGGTAGCGGAAAACGTTTGACTGCAACATGTTTTGATTGGAGCCGACAGGACGAGTGTCCATTGGCGGAGCCAGCGTGCTTGAGGGTAGCTTGGATGGCACCCAGCCGACGACATGTAGGGGGACTTCGCTGCACCAGCAGCACCACCCGAATACATGACGCTGCAGCCCCGCGTGCTCTTGTACCCCCCCCCCCTTGCCCCTGGAGACAAGAATGCCCCCATTGGTGCGACAAAAGCAATTTGAGGTATTTAGTCGAACGACTCGAGGCAAGGCACCCAATAAGAGCTGCCCCCTCCCTCCCCCTCCCCTACCCCACGCCAACCCTCCGTTCATAGACAAAAAGAGCAGAGCACCGCTTCAGGGAGGCTTGCCCAAGACGTCCGGTTACGAGCGCAGCGGCGAGAGCTACGAGGCGATATTCAAGGGGCTTCAGGGGGGCATCGGGCTGTAAGCTTGTATACTGCTGCTGTAGCCGTTTCACCCTACGGCTCTTACGAAATATCTCTGGACGTGCAACACTTTAGAACCATGCGCCGTTTAACTTGATGTGGTCTCGTTTTCAAAACCATTGGTAGCAGTCGCTAGGAGGTCTGTCTAGACACGTTTATTGTATGCGCCCCCCGAAGGCTTTTGAGTATGCCACGGTTGGGGTAGGGGGCTGTATAGACACACGTTTGTAGACGCACACCCCGAACTTTTGGTTACGTGGAAAGGCTGGGGATTGGGGCTGTTTAGACATGCGTGGGTCTACGTGGCCTCTCTTCCCCCCCAAGAGAATAAAGTCAAGGTAGCAGAGCGAGTGCTAGTATACCGTGTGCAGGCACGACAGAACCGAGTTGCCCTTTGGATGCGCAACCGGAAACCTTTCGTTTGCGGGAGCCCTGGTTGGTTCTGATTGCTGTTTTTTTTTTGTGCTTTGCTTGACATGATTCATCGGTCGAAACTGTTTCCATGCCGCTTTTGTAGATTTGTTGCAGCAGAAGGTACGACTCCATGGGCGTAGTTTTTTACCGTTTAGCCGTTCGCACGGATACGAATGCGCACGGTCTACAAATTAAAACACCAAACGAATACGGAATTGAAAATTTACACCCCGCACCTTCCGATTCGTTTGTCATGCGATGGCGATCAAATAGAGTCCGGACGGTAGGGGGGAGAGAAGGGTGTTATCGTGGTGGGCAATATTTTGAGCCGTGTTGTGCTTGGTGAACGTTGGAAGAAGCAAATGATCTGCGACCTCCTACGGCTCTTTGCCTCGGGAACTATCTGCCTTGGAAGAACATGTTTTCCCGAACAGGTCTGCAGTTAGAACCTTTGGCTGATGTTTTTGGCGTTTAGCGACAAGACTAACTCGGGCTCGGTTTGGGGACACATGGTCAATTGAAATCGCACGACAATCAAAGGCAATCCGCAGAACGTTGCCCGTCTTGGTACCACATGCGCGCTAACCCTCCGACACCAGCAAACCCCGTAAGAAGTCTCATGCCTCTGCTTGGCTCGTGTGAAGTTAAGGGCTTGGGCATCCAAAAACGGTTCCATCCCGAAGCATCATCAGTCGAAAGCAACGAAAAACATCGAAACATCAACATCATCCCACGCAGCAAACGACAACTTGCACATCAACCAACCACGAACACCCCATTAAAATCACCTGCGGTTGGTGGGGAAACTACTGTTTGGCAAATCTTCATGTCTCCTCGTCAACATGGGCAAAGGTCTCCCTGCATGATCATACGTGATTCATACGTTTTCGTTTGCATGGCGACACGGCGGTACGGATCTCCATGAAGCGAAACACTCACTCCCTTACGACAAATATCTCCAGCAAACTAGCTTTGCCCTCCGTCCTCCATATCGCAAGAAACCGGGAGGGCCCACACACATGTCTCGTTCGGACTCGAACCCGCCTTGCCCTCACCCCTAGTAGAGATACACACAGAGCGTTGTCGCGGGCTTCCCAGCGTCCGCAAGGTGTTTTCACCCCGTACCATCAAAAACTCCCTACTCCAACACGCTAGCTAACGTTTTCGGCACGCCAAGACAGACGCCCACCTCTCTCTGTCGGATTTTTCCTAAAACAACGAAATTCTTGCAGCTGCCGAGTCAAAACGCACGTCGTGATACTAACATACTTCAAAAGGCGACCTTGCCTTCCTCTCAATTCCTCGCCAGTCGCCCCCAAACATTTCGTGTCGTCGGGCACCGAGAACAAGGAGAGCTACACCTATGCATAGTCTATACATCCATTACAGTACCACCGCAGAACCACACCACACCCTCCTGGGTCTCGTCGCCGCTGTTCGCTACTCCAACGGTGGTCTTGTCACCTTCCTCGGTACTACTGTAGTACTACCGGACGTGCCGCCTTTTCTCTCACGAGGAGATCAAGACGGCACCAAGCACTATACTGCTGTCTTGTCTTGGCATAACAACCTAAGGCCGACTTGTTTCCCACCGTGCCACAGCGGGCTGTGCTTTCGCGCGGAGGAACCGCACAGTCCGCATACACAACCAGACCATCTACTCCCTCACAGAAACCCCACGACGGTCCGAAACAGCCCCATCTCTGACAGCCCAACCAGCCACGCCACCACGCCGTCGAAGTTGTCCTTGGCACCCCCCTGGTCTTGCCCTTCACGCTCACCATCGGAGGTGCCACTAGAGTCTTCTACTACCACTACCCCTCCAGCCCGCCGTTTTTCGTCCTTCCTTTTCTTTTCTTTCCCAGAGCTTCGCTCTTTCTCTTTCTTTAGGCGAGCGCAACACAAAATCACTAACCTGCGGCGACGCCACGCGCGGTCCGCCGGAGCTCGCGCCAGCAGGTACGCCACGACTTGCGCCCGAAGCTCCAGCACGGGGAGGAGGGCGGGGTCGACGGCATCGAACGGGCCGACGGCGGCGGCGGAGCCGACAACGCTCGCGGGGGTGAGGCCGCTGTCGTTCTTCTTTCCCTCGTCGGCGCCGTGCAGGAGCAGCTCCTGGACGATCTCGACGGCGCCCTGTACCCCGGCCTGGCGAACCGCGACGTGCAGCGGCGTGTCGTTATCGTTGTTCGCGTCCCTCGCGTGGACGTCGGCCCGGTGCTTTAGGAGCACCCGCACGACCTCGAGGTGGGTGTCCTCGGCCGCCGAGTGGAGAGAGGTCCAGCTCTCGTCGACGAGGTGGGCTTCGACGTCCGCCCCGGCCTCGGCGAGGGCGTCCACGGCGAGGGGCTTGTTGCTCTTCACGGCGCAGATGAGGGCCGTCCTGCCGTCGCCGTCCCTCGCGCCCACGAGCGCGCCGGCCCGGATCAGCGCCGTGATGGCATCGACGTGGCCCGCGTCCGCGGCCAGGTCGAGAGCGTTCGGTTGGTCGTCGGGGACCCCGGCCACGCGGAGGGCAACGTCCGCGCCGGCGGCCAGGAGGGCCTCCAGCGCGGCGAATCGGTCCGGAGAACCGGCTGCAAGATGCAGCGGCGACCTCCCTAGGCCGTTCACCTTGTTCACGTCGGCCCCGTGCCTCGCGAGAGCGGCAACCGCGGAGGCGGAGTTGGCGACGGTGGCGGCGTGGAGCGGGCTGGAGCCCAGGATGTCCGCGGCGTCGAGGTTGGAGCCGCTCTTGACTAACAGGTCAATAGAGGCGATCTGGTCGGATTCTCCCGCCAGGTGGAGTGCTGTTATCTCGTTCGGTGGATCGGCGGTGTTCACGTCGGCGCCGTGCTGGATCAGCGCTCGCATTACGCCCACGTGACCGTTCTTGGCGGCGATGCCGAGGGCGCTACGGTTGTTTTCGTCGCACCGGTCCGTGATGCTTGCGCCGGCAGCCAGGAGAGCTTCCGCCGCACCCGTAGACCCGGCCAAGGCCGCAACTTGTAAGGCTCTGCCTTTCTTGCCCCAGGTATTGCTCACGCTAGCCCCAACAGACATGAGCCACTTGATCGCGCCAACCTGATCCGACAGTATCGCGGCGTAGAGAGCGTCTCCAACCGCTCGCATAAACTCCCACCTCGCTTTATCGCGCACATGTGCGCACATTGATTTTAGCGCGTTCATGTTCCCTAGGGAAGCAGCCACGTCCAAAGGTGAGTACCTGCAAGCAGATACGCAAGAAATATAGGTTGGGTCCGAGCCCCACCTCAGAAGAATTTCCACGGTGGAATCATGACCGTGCTGCACGGCGAGGTGAAGAGGTGTGTGGTTACTGGCGTCGCGGCCAAACAGCAACGCGTCGTGAGTCAGGAGGGCAGAGATCGCCTCGTTGGAGCCATACGCGCAGGCGACGTGAAGGGCCGACCACCTGTGGCGGCCGGGGGAACGGGCTTCGACCCTAGCGCCCGCCTTGACGAGCACATCGATAGAGTACGGCTGGTTGTTCAAGGCGGCGAGGTAGAGCGCGGTAACGCCATCCGAGTCGCTGGCGTTGACGTCGCACCCATGCCGGATGAGCATCTTCAATATTTGCTGGTGACCCCCGCAGGCGGCTAAGTCAAGCGCGCTGTACTCGTCGCTGCCATAACGACGGTCNGGTTGTTCAAGGCGGCGAGGTAGAGCGCGGTAACGCCATCCGAGTCGCTGGCGTTGACGTCGCACCCATGCCGGATGAGCATCTTCAATATTTGCTGGTGACCCCCGCAGGCGGCTAAGTCAAGCGCGCTGTACTCGTCGCTGCCATAACGACGGTCTACAAACCCTGCGTTGTCTTCTTCGGACGCATGCAAGAGAACCGTGGCCGCCGTGAGGCGGCCGTTCTCCACCGCTACGAGCAAAGGTGAGCGGCCATCACTGTTGACCTTGCTTTTATCTGCCCCGCCGTTCACGAGAGAAACAATGGCAGTCGTTGCGCCATTCTCAGCCGCTACATGCAGCGGGGTACACCCCCGGCCGTCTGAAGCTTCCAGACGAGCTCCAGACGCAACCAGAAGTTCCACGGCGCCCGCCTGATCCCAGAACGAAGCGCAGTGTAGAGCCGTTCTGCCGTCCGGTGTGGCGGAGTTAACATCGGCGCCGCGTGCGAGGATCGTCTTCATGGCCTCGGTATATCCCTGCGCAGCGGCCATGTCCAGTATTGAATGCCCCGTGTCGCTACGGCGAGTGTTGGTATGAGCGTCCGTGGGTCGAAGGCCCCTTTGTCCCGCCCCGCGACTCATGGACACCACCGTGTTTGCCTTATGTAGTCACCTGATCGTCCGAAAAATTGTGGACAAAAAAGCGTCGACATTCATTCGCAACCTCGGGTTGCAGCGAGTCTTGAGGAGCACCGCAAGAAAGCGACAAGACCTCGGCTGCAGGCTACGGCTTGTTGTCGGATGAAATCACACCGGCTGAAGAAAGAGTAACGGTTTAGCAGCAACAAGGGAGGTAACGGCAATGAGGTATGGGACGTGTTCGAGGAGTTTTTTTTTGTTGCGACGCACCTCTCAAGGTTCCATTGCTGCTGTGATTAACTATTGCTCCGGACTTTGAAATCGTTGGCGTTCAGGCCCACGCCAGTCCAGTTGCTCCTTTTGATGATGACGGTATCTTTGATTCCACCTTGACGTCTTTTGCGTTCCCCAACAATCAACCCTTCGTTTGAACGAGGTTCTCCCCCTCCTCGCTCCGCATTTTGGGTGTTGAGATACACAGATTGTAGTTTTTTTTTAAGATACACCGGGTACTGACAGACTTACCCTTCACGACATATCCGGCTGCAGTGCCTTCGGATGCGGGAGTTTGGGTTGCCCACCTCGAAGCTTCTCCTGCATGATACACAGCAGTACATCAGCGACATGACCAGAAGGAGTCGATCCAAAGGGTGCCCCGCATGATCATTTTCTCTGGTGTGCATATCCTGATGAAAGCCCCCCTCAGGGACCGCCAGTGCCGACCCCTGCACAGCTTGCTTATCGACCAGGCACCCTGCTGAAGGAGCCATCTCAGGCACGAACTATCTACGTCAGGGAGGTACGTGTGCTTCATTGCTACGTTCTTGGAGTTCTTCAATTCCCCACCCTTTTTTATGAGATTCGCCATCGTGTTTTATCCGCTCCTGCTGTGGCTACTCGAGACTCCGCTCTCTTTTACCTCACGGTGTGCTACCGTGATGCTCGTCTTTGTGGAAGGCGGCTCGCGTCATACCGTTGTGTGCAGCATCTCACTAACAAGTGTACGGCCTAGGCTTCACTGTGAAATTATCGTGAGGTTGGATTTAGACATTTGCACTGTTTTAGGGCACACATCCAAGGCACGCAGGCAGAGGGCGTGAGTTCCGAGTTTCGTCCTTCTACAGATGGTACACATGTAGGCAAAGGGTCAGTGCTCGCTTCCGACTCCCGGCAGACTCTCCGTCGTTGAGGAACGGGCGGTGTTTGTGTTCACGAACGAATCCCGGAATCAGCTGTACGAAACCGCGGAGGTGGGCGATTGAACGCGTTGCGCTCATGCGTGAGGCTGCACGTGTTCCAAGCAAAAGGACAGAGAGAACCTACTTACATATACACCCACCCCCGAATACTCACCCATTTGAGGTCCCTTATGGTACAAAAGCTTTACACCTACAGCAGTTCGGGTGCCCGCTTGGAAGTCAGGGTGGAATTGGGTAGCAAAGGGTGTACACAGCGGTTTTGTGTTTTCCACGTTAGACACCAAGTACTTGAATAAGTCGTGGAAACACAACACCACACAACCGACCTGGTTTCTCGGCGCCACGGCACGGGGCCATTTCTCCGGTGTACTCGTTGTTCTGCTCCACATCTCTCTCGCATTCCTACAGCAGTAGCGGTGATTTTTAACCACCCTCACGAAGATCTGCACCGGAAATTTAATGTACCCTTCGGCTCTTGAGCTTTTTATAATGCCCAATCATGATTGCGCGAGATCGGCGCTGCAAGTTACATGTTTTTGTTTTCTTTCCGCAGTTGAGTTTGTGTTCTGTTTTTGGTGCTGCGTTATCATTAGGCTCGTTGGAGACAACTCCTGTGTTCTTCGGCGGCATCCTTGCAACACCAGGCACTAACAAAATTTGAAGGATGACCCGGGTCGTTTCTCAGCGAGTTATACAGGCCAACTCCAATCACCGTGGCGGTGACGCCTGCTTTTTGCCACTCTTTTTCACGATCGTTCATGTCTAATCGTGGGCGGTGTAAAACCAGCTTACAGCAGCAATATATGGGACTATCGAGTCGCAACGTTGTTGGCGTGGCAGTCGTGGCCTCCCGCGAGCTGAACATTTCGCGTGCAGCAGCACATAGGAAAATGTTCTCCAACTCCGATTTGATGGCGTGGCGTCTCTCCCTCTCAAAGCAAAATCAATGGGTACTGGCTTATATGAAGAGATGGCTGTCTGCGCGAGGAGCACGGGTGATGGCGGCACAACCAGACTCGGCATGTCGAGAACCGGGAAGGGGCTGGCGAGAAATGAAAGCCCGCTGCTATCACCAAAGGGGCCACTTTGCCTCCTGAGTTTTTTTGCATTGCTCCTTTTAGGGAGAAACACGTGTGTGCGCGTGGGTGGAACCCGTTTTCTCCGCCCCCAAGCACCTCTTGGACACGTGTGGGCACCTCGAGACGCACTGATGAGCAGAGGTTGGGGAAGCAGAGAATCGGGCTCTGCAAGATAGCTAGGTCGTTGTTGTGGGCGCTGTTGCTACAGCCAGAGCAAGCTGCGAGCGTGTTGTGGATGTTGTATATCCTCCTTTGCCGAACAAGTTTGCCCAGCGTGTCCTGAGTCCGGTCGAGGTGAAGAGTGTGTAGCTTCAGCGTTTGGTTCTAGACCATGCCTGTCAAACACTCTTGACGATGTTTCTCTTCTTTCTTTCGCGCACGCTCGCATTTTCACGCGCAAGTGCTCGCCGGTGCGGGTGCCGCCCGCTACTCATCGCGCTGGCGTTGTTCGTCCTTATTTGTTATTTCCTACGCCAGTGCTTGCCACTCGTGCTCCCGGTGTCGACGCACGCAGCCATGGTAGTG